TCTTCTAGGACAGTGACTTCAGGCCTGTGGGGCTGTTCTGCTCCGAGCAGTGTGAGAATGTGGCTGGTGGAGGCCCGGCTCTCTGAAACCTGAAGGGGGTGGGTTCTCACCAAAAGAGCAGCTACCTATTTCCCATTCTCCCTTCTCCTGCCTGGGCTATTTGGCTGAAAAACCAAACATCACTTGGCCACTCAGGGCTAGTTCCAGCTTGGAACCTGACCCCTGGGCTTACAAGTACCATCCTGACCTTTGAGCTCCAGGTACTTAATTTTCCTGTAAGGGGAGCCAGGCCTCTGGAAAGTCCTTTTACTAATGGTCCCTTAAGCTTGGGCCAGAGTGTGACTGGTTCTGTCCTCTCTCTCTTCAGAAAGTAGCTGTCACAGCCCCTAGTACCTGAAAAGACACCCTAGGTCTAGGCTTTTCCTCCCCTTCCCTCTCAACCACCACAGACCTCCGGCCCCCTTTCTCTTAGTTTCTCTGGTAGCACCAGGAGGCGTATGGTCTAGCTGCCAGCTCGACATCCACGACCTGTTGGATGCCACCTCCTGTCAATTTCCTGTCCTACTTGCCTTTCCTCCTTCCCGGCTCAGGCCTATATGGCCATGCCCTGGCTCTGTCCCTGGGAAGGCCTGCTACTTAGGTGTGACCCAGCTTGTCCCAGGCCCTGGGATGCTGCATCTCCAGGCAACTATGCACTTTCCTGGAGAGGGAATCCATTAGAGAAGTGGGGACTGAGCCCAGGTTCATCTCTGCTGGAAGGTCTGGCTTGGGTGTGGGTGGCTGAAGGCCCAAATCAGTTCTGGGAATTCCCAGGTCTGCAGCCAGCCAGTGACCTGCTTTTGCATTCTGCTGGGGCGCATTGCTCCTTGTTTCTGGGACACACACAGACTATTCTCCAAATGGCAGTTTGACCTGCCTCAGCCAATGTGTCTGTCTGTGGTAACTGAGTGAACCATAATAAAGGGGAAAATATGGCCCTCTGTGTCCTGCTGTGTCATGTGTCTTCCTGTAGGCCTGTGTGGAGCGTCACCGTGGGCTGTGGGGCATGGAGGCAGGGTGGGTCAAAAGGGTCTGTGGCCTGTCCTCCCCACTGGCCCCAAATCACACACTTCTGTGCAGTTCCTTCTCAGAGGTTCCTTTGAGATTGCCACAGAGGCCTCCTGCCTGTTAGAAGGAGGAGTCCTAGGTTCCCTGAGGAGAAAGTAAAAGGCTGGATTAGTGGGGGAGGCGCAGTTTGGTTCAGATGGTCACTGCTGGAAAGAGCATGCATGGGCAGAGCAGAGAAGGCCTCACCTCAGCTGGCACCAATGGAAACTGAAAACCGACCGAGCAGCCTTAATAATCACAAGGTGTTCTAGGGCCCTGTGGATGCTGCAGATGGAAGGCAGTGGGGCGCACCCAGCATGCTTCCTGCTTCCCCTTGCCCGTGCTGGGCCCTCCATCTGGATTGCTGCTCTGGCACTCAGTCTAAGCTGCTGGTCATCCTACAAGATTCACCTTGAGTGACTCTGCAAGTCCCGGACAGAGGAAATCCCGGGGCAAAATACCTCTAAAGCCGAAATCAGTCAAAGGGAAAAATAAAGTTTAAAATCCGTTTATTGCTCACAAACTGCAGTCCCGGGACCTTCTCTTTTTCCTGCACCAGCAGAAGCAAAACCGGCCCCACCCCCCCACCCCTCTCAGGCACAGATAAGCCCTCCGTCGCCCAGGTAATTACCCACTGATACGGAGATAAACTTCTCTCCACCCCTGAGCAATGATGAAAATGTACTAAAGCCATACTTCTCTCCACCTCTGAAAACCTATTGATATGCAGATGTACTAAAGCCAGGCGAGATATTCTGGAATTTCACCCACAGACTCCTGAGAGGCCCTCTAGTTGTTTCCTAGGCTTCTCTGCTTCCTCATGGAGGACCTTATTCTGGAATTTTCTGTGGCCCTCCTTATCTCAAAAGCCAGGAGTAGTCAATCTTTATTCTGTGTACTTAAAACATTGAAGAGGCTCAGTAAATATTCAGTGTTAAGTGCCCCAGTGATGAGCAGTAACTGTGGGATGGGATGTGAAGTGAGGCGGTTGGGCGATTAGACCAGGCCCAGTAGTCCCAGTAGTCCGCGCCCAAAATACCAAGAACAGGGAGCTTCGGTTCCTTGCCAGGATTCCCCCGAATGGACCACAACTCCCAGAAGGCTGCGCGATAACGTAGGCTGCCACGTGCTTTCGTGAGCCTGCGTGCTAGCTAGGACCAGCGGCGGGCAAGGAGGGGGAGGGGAGACGGCCGCGATATCGCGATATTTGGGACCTGTCCCGAAAAGCTCCTGGCGCCGGTGAGGAGTCATGGGGGCCAGAGGCCGGGGTGTTTCAGCGGGGCAGAAGGGAGGTCTCTGTTTCGGAAGAGACTGTGGCTGTGTGTAGGGGGGGGGGAAGGGGGGTGGAGAAAGGGCTCACTTTCCTTTTTGTGCATGTGACGCTCTGCTCACTGGTTTTACGCTGTGTCTGTAGGGACTGTGGAGCCCGCCTGCTCGTGGGGCCAGAGCCTTAGGGACCCCGGATAGGGACCCCTTCCCGGTTCGGCCCTGGAGTAGGGGGTTTGTATCCGTGCGCTACCATCCCCGCTTTGTGCTGCACACTGCGAACGTTGTGTGCCATTTAAGTTTAAAAGGTCGGGGAAAAGGCTCCCCACATTTAACAGATTACTTTAAAAAAAAATCATGGGCCTACTTCCAAAAAGGACTAGGGCTGCTCAAAGTACAAACTGTATTTTAAAAATTGGTAAAATAGAAATAAAAGAAGCCTTGGTATGTTGGAATTATCCCCTAGATATGTCCAAAGTGCTGAATGGCATTTATAAACTAGAATGAGGCCAAATTTTGCCAGAGAAAAACTTCATGCTGTCCTTGGAAGTATTTGGAGGCCTGTGCCAGATGGTGAGCCAGAGAGATCCCCAAGATAGGGAAGTGGTGGATTTCTCGGGAGCAGGGTTTATTTTCCACATCTCTCCCAGTGGCTATAATTGTCTTGTTAGTAGCTCGTGTGTGTGTGTGTGAATATAATATAGAGTATATGAATTAATGTAAATATATATTAAAATATGTGTAGTATAGTATATAATATACCCCCAACATGGGGTCTTCAGGAGAGATGCATAGATGGGAGTCAAGCATGCCTGCCTCTAGTTTGAGGGAAGAACAGTCTTAGCAGAATGCAAGACCTTGAGCTCTCCCTAAAGAGTTCCTTACCTTTCCTTGGGGGCAGGGGTTTAAAGTGCCCCTGTGGCCAGGAGGCTTCTTTTAATGCCTCTAAGTTTTGAGGGAGGGTGACACTTTGGGGAGCTACAAGTTGTTCATTATTACTGGGGCAGAGAGTAGTGTGTTCACTGGTGGGAGATGAGGCCAGAGCAGGAGCTTGGAGCCAGTACTGAGAGGCTTTGACATCAATGTAAAAGGTGCGAGCTCTTGAGGGATCCTGGATCCCTGCTCCTGGACCCCATCCTCCACATTTGGTTCTGCTTTGTCGAAGCCTCTAGCCCCTCGTTCCTGTTTTGGGTTGGGCTTATACCCCGCCTGGCCCCTTTTTAGCTCTATTTCTGCACAGGTTGCACATGTGCCTGTGTTGTGACGAGCCTTGAAACCTTTGCTTCAAACTCTGAAACTATCCCTGAAACCTTTACTTAACTGTGCCCTAATTAAACTCATCAGAGGAGACTTACATATCATGAGCCTGCCACAAGCCAAGGCTCTTTACTCTGGCCCTGTCTTTCTAAAGGACAGAGGACCTGCCATTTTTCTGGCTGTGGCTTACTGCCAGTGGATGGTGCCTTGGGAGCTTGCAGCTCAGTAATCACAGCCTTAAGCCCTGTAATCTCTGTGCTTGTGAACTCTGCTGCTCAGGAGTTCCTTTCAGCTCAGCAGAGCCCAAGAAAATGAGGTGCTATCTGCAGCTACCTTGATTGTGCAAATAGATGGTTCTAACAGGAACTGGATAGAGTCACAGACTTACTGGTTTGGCATTTGGTGTTTTATGAGAGTATATGTAAAGAACTCTTGCCAGCTGTTACCCTCCATGAAACTATCAGATTGAACCAATTTGACCTTGCTTTCAAATGTTGGTTAAATTTTCTACTTTCCATTCCTTTTCTAGAAAGGTAGGCAGGCTTTGATTCTTAACAGAGCTTGCTCAGCAGGCTAAGTAGTAAATTTTAGGCTGTACCACCTACTGTGTGGAAGGAGTTGAAGTCACTAACATGGATTCCTGCCCCAAGTTGAACTGATAGCTTTCAGGAACCTGTTCCTTAGGTTTGGTATCAGTTTGATGTGATGGAGGTTCAGGGGCTGCAGAGATTGGATTTAGCTTCTGGTTTTGCAAGAACCTCCCTGCCCTAGCACCAGCTGGCTGGAACAGGACAGGGTCAAGGTTTGTGATCTGGTAGGTAGGTTTCCCCAGAAAGTCAAGGGTGGGCCTCCATTGCCTACTGTGGCTGCTAATCAGCAAGCTAGGAGGACGCTGGTCGATAGGCCCCCTAGACCTTGCCAGTTGCCAACAGAGCTCCTCAGAGTAGACTCAGTTCTGCTCTGGGCAAGCTTGGCCCTTTTTGAAGCCCTGACGTAGAGCAGAGATTGAGATCACTGGCAGATGGAACTTTGGGAACTGGGATGTGCTTAACTCCTGCTGAGAAGCATCTGAGCCTCAGAGACCCTTCCAGATAGGAGTGTGGTAATGGACCCTAGCGTGATCTTTAGCTCATGTGTGTAGGCCTGAGTCTTGAAGGCAGATATTGGGCAAAGGAGCCCTAGGGAGCCAAGGGGCCTGTGGAGTAAAGAGGAGGCCTCTGTAGGTGCACAGCCATGGAGGTGTGCAGCCATAGGGACCACTCACAGGCACTTCCTCCTTGGGGTCTACCTTGGTGTCCTTTTTCCCTGCTGGTTCTGCCCACTTTGAATTCATCTTCCGGGATCTTCTTGTACAGAGAGCCCTTACCGTAGTTTTTCATGCATTGACTCAGGTTTTTGCTGAAGGAGCTTCAGAGATCACCTGGTCCTACCTTGCATTTTCTGGGTGAAGAGACAAGACCAGGGAGCCAAGTACCCTGGGCCAGCGCCACACCACGTCAGGAGCACAACCAGGGACAGGGCCCAGGGTCAGGGCCCAGGGCTCCTGCTTCACAGGCCAGGGTTCTGCCTGCTGCTACACCTTGCTTTAGAGTTTCAGGACTTCCCAGATGCCTGGTGGTTGGTGATTAGACCTGGTCACACATTCGGGGAGCAGCAGTGGGGTGGTGAAGTGGAGAGGGAGAGGTAAGAAAACTGATGACCAGATTGAATCAGTGATCACCAGACAGGTGCATCCCAGAGAAGGACCCATCTCAGTTGATGCCAGGTGTCACTCTTGTCTTCTCAAATCATCTACAGACTCCCTGAAGGCAGCAACTGTGTCTTCCTCGGGTGCTTGCCCAGTGCTGGATATAGTTGGTCCTCAGTTATTGTTCCTGATGGAGTGAGTCCATTTTGCTGGTCCAGCATATACAATGTAGGTTTTGCCCAAATTTGCCACCCTTCTTCAGGCCTTCTCACCTTTGTAAGATTGTTCCATCTTGCAAAGTTACTTCCTTTCTCTGGAAAACTTACTTGTCCTTCAGGACTCAATCTGAATGTCACTTTTTTGGTCTCTGACTTCCTTAAACAGTTACTCCTGGGCAGCCTCAGCACTGGTCACATTACATTGGAACTGACCTGTGTGTGGCAAGGGTGTCTGACCTTGCCAGACTGTGTGCTCCCATAGCTGGGACTGCTGACCTCTCAGGAACCCCAGCATCTGGCCCAGGGTCTAACACAGGATGCTCAATACATTTTGGTGGAATCTATGAATGAAGTGGGTGCCCCTTATTCCGCTTTTAGATCCTAAATCCTGACAGAGCGTCATGGAGCCCAGTCCTGGCCGACTCCCAGAACTTGAAGCCACCAGACCCCACATGGAACCAAGGGCCTCCTGTGCAGCTGCTGTCCCCTTGGTGGGGAGACAGTTCCATGTTCTCGTGGGTGTCACTGGCAGTGTTGCAGCCCTGAAGTTGCCTCTTCTGGTGTCAAGGCTTTTGGAAATTCCTGGTGTAAGTATCCTTACTAGGCAAGCACGGCACGGCAGCTGCTGACATTAGGGAGCTGCTGCTCCTGTGGCCAGACCATTTTTGTGCTGTGCATGGAGTTTTCTATTTCTTAATTGTTGTGTCTGTGGAAGTCCTCTGTGTGCGTCGGTATGTGGGAGATCCAGGAGACAGGGAGCAGTGTGATAGTGTACCAGGGGCTAGATACACTTAGTCTGGACAGAGTGTGAGGGAAGACTAGGAAAGGAGTGCTCTGGTGAGGGGAGGGTGTGGGTTCCCCTATGAAGATCCTGAGATTCCCTGAGGTCCTGGCGTGGGAGGAGGCTAGCTGGAGAAATGCAGCAAGCTCTCAGTGCCCCCTTGCTGCCTTGGGCTCTCTGCCCCCACCTTCACTCCCTCTTGAACACTGCAGCTGTACTCTCCCTCCTTGTTAGATGCGGTGGCTGTGCTGTCAGTCCAAATGCACTGGAACCTCAGGGGCTTCCCATTGCCCACAGCTCTCATTTCAAACTTCACTCCTTCAAGTGTTCATAGATGCCTGGGGGCAACCACAGTGTGTAGGGGGTAAGGAGTTCAGCCCCTGCCACTGGCCAGACCACCTTACTTTGATCAGAGTTTCGTATATTTAGGTTCTGGGGAAGATTTTCCTGTGGGAAAAGTTCAAGATTTTAAACAGTGTGAGAGCCAGCGGTGATGACCCCACTCCCTCGTCTGATACCAAAGGCCCTTAGATTGGTGCATCCATCTCCCACTGCCCCACCCTCTACCCAGATGGCATTTACTTGGGCCTGGGCCCTGCCAGGCTGTGCTGCCCTCCCCGCTCCTCTCTGTCTTCCCAAGTTCTGCACAAACACTTTACACAAAAGCTTTCCTGGCCCGCCTCAGCCCATGTGGTTTTGCTCCCTTCCTTTTAAAACTCTTGATGTATAAAAACCAGAGCTGGGCAGTAAAATGGTGAAAACATATTTTATTCAGGAAAAACTGTTGCAGTAAAGGAAAAGAGACCTCAGTATAGGACTGGGTTTAATTCTGAATACCAGGAAAAGTCAGGACTTATAGCCCAGGAGCAGGTGGGGGTCAGTGGAAGTGACCTCATGGGTAAGAAGGATTCTGGCTAACCCAGCCTGATAGTATTCTTACTGAAGGCATGCCAAGTGATCGACATCGTCTGGGGGAGGTTGGGAGGCTGAATTGCCTGATGGTCCTGGCGTGGGAGGAGGCTAGCTGGAGAAATGCAGCAAGTTCTCAGCATCCAGGCTGATCAGATATTGTGGGTGGGGGATTCTGGCGAAACCAACTTAGCCTGAGTCTTGCTCTTGAGGACAGGGCCCAAGGATGCCTAGTTGAAAAACTGGCTCAGAAGAGCCTGGCTAGAGTTTGTTTGGTCAAGGAGAGAATTTGACCAAGATGTGGAGCCGTAAGTGGCCTTTAACACTGCTTGTGCTGTTGGACACTAACTAGTTCAGTGGGTGTTGTTAGGCACTGGGGCCCCTGCTGTGTCTTCCTTGCTGGTATCCACGCAGCACCTAATGCAGGTGGATATACCTGGCCCTTCCAGCAGGGGGCAGTGCTCACTTGCAGATGGCTCTGTGGCTGCAGGCAGGGGCCGGAAATCTTTTCATTTTTTTTTTTTTTTGTTAACTTTCCACAAACTTCTACCCAGAAGAAAGTCACCCCCGCACCCCTCCCCACCAGCCTGGGACAAGCAGTGTAGCAGGCTGCCAGGGATGCCAGCCGGGCCAGAAGGGGGAAGGGAGGAGAGACTCGTGGTTGCTCTGAGGTTGGGCACCGGTGCTGCTGGGGCAGGACAGGACAGCCTGGGGCCTGCCACTCCCCATTGCCGACCCCCTGGTCCTCCCATGTGCCCAGGACCGTCGGTCGCTGCTGGCCGGCTAGAGCTGTGAGGGAGCTAGAGTGGGAGGCCTGCAGGGGGTTGCAACGGTGACAGGCTCTGCCACTGCCCCCTGGAGAGGGAGGGAGCCCTGCGGTGCCTTTTCCCACAGCCCCAGAGCAAGTGAGTTTCCGGCCTTGGGGTGGGTGGGGGCAGGGAGTCCTATCCCAGGAAACAGATGGGCAGCGTCAGAGTGCAGGGAAGTGGCAGCCCCACCACTTCCTCCATCCCACGCAGCCAGCCTTTACAGGGGTGTGAGGAAAGGGTTGCTGAGCAGGCGGGCTCTCCAGCCCAGCCTGGACCTGTCAGCCTGGCCTGCTGGGAGGGCAGGCCGCGTGTGCAACGGGACTCGGAGCTCCCTTTCTGGCTGGAGCCAAGGCTGGAAGCCAGGCCGCCAGAAGGGCCCTGGCCCAGCCACCTGGAGCCTGCCTTTCTCATTTTAAAATGAAGGTGGTGGAGGGGAAGAAAGCCTTCACGGGGCCACTGAAAGATCTTGCCGTGCAGCAGATTGTGCAGCTCGTGGAAACTCAATAAAAATTATTTTCCAGTGGGAAAAGTAAAATAAAGTAAAGGTAATTACTGCCACCCATTCCCTCAGGCTCCCATCAGGGCTTGGGGAGAGAGACACACATGAAGCAGTTTGTCATCTTGTGCCAACAACTCAGCACAGCTCCTGGCACACGGAAGTGCATGACTTTCCTGTCCTTCACCCTGTCCTTTCCCCTTGTCGTGTCCTTGGGGCTAGCCACATGGTGTGGGGTGGTAGGGTTGGCAAGACAGCCCATGTGGGGAGGGCTGTGGGGGCCACAGTGCATCTGCTCATGTTGAGGGGCCTGCGTCCCTGTCCCCTGCTGGCCCTCTCATTCTGCGGGGGACAGCTCTCCAAAGAACTCCGTCGGGTTGTGGTGAGGTGTTGGTAGCCAGGGGGCATCCCTACTTGCCGTGTATTAGCCCCAAGGCAGTGACCTCCCCCAATCCCCTGCACTCTGATAGCACTGATCTCATTGCCCCCTTTCTGGGTCCCCCCCGGAAGCAGTTTTTGTCCCTTGGAACCGTCCTCAGCTCTTGCCTAAGTCAAGGGTTCACATGCTCAAGGTTTCCTGAGTTCCCTTAGGCACTCCTGGATTTTGACTAGCAAATGAACAGCTGGGGTGTGGGCTGCAGGCAACTGGGTGATGCTGCAGACATGGCTCCTAACTGCTGATTTGTCAGTATGTCCACACAACCCAGGAGAGCCACTGACCTAGAGCAAGCCCAGGGATACTGAGGGAGTGATGGAGAGGATAAATTTGGTTTCAGGTCTCACACATGAGCAGTCTTAGGGAGTGGCCACTGGCAAAGCCGGGGACCCTTTATGTGAGGAAGGGGGCGTTGGATAGTGGGGGCCAGCCCTACCTCAAGAGAGGCAGGGAGCATAGAAGATTTCTAGTGCAGGGACACTGGGCAAGTCAGGTCTTCTTCTTTTTTATTTTGGTATCATTAATCTACAATTACATGAGGAATATTACATTTACTAGGCTCCCCCCTTCACCAAGTCCCCCCCACAAACCCCATTACAGTCACTGTCCACCAGTATAGTAAGATGCTGTAGAGTCACTCTTGTCTTCTCTGTGTTGCACAGCCCTCCCCGTGTCCCTCCACCATTATACATGCTAATCATAATGCCCCCTTTCTTACCCCCACCCCCCTTACCCCTCCTTTCCCACCCCTCCTCCCCAGTCCCTTTTCCTTTAGTAACTGTTAGTCCATTCTTGGGTTCTGTGATTCTGCGACTGTTTTGTTCCTACAGTTTTTTCTTTGTTGTTATACTCCACAGATGAGTGAAATTATTTGGTACTTGTCTTTCTCTGCCTGGCTTATTTCACTGAGCATAATACCCTCTAGCTCCATCCATGTTGTTGCAAATGGTAGGATTTGTTTCCTTCTTATGGCTGAATAATACTCCATTGTGAATATGTACCACATCTTCTTTATCCATTCATCTATAGATGGACATTTAGGTTGCTTCCAATTCTTGGCTATTGTAAATAGTGCTGCGATAAACATAGGAGTGCATCTGTCTTTCTCAAACTTGATTGCTGCGTTCTTAGGGTAAATTCCTAGGAGTGGAATTCCTGGGTCAAATGGTAGGTCTGTTTTGAGCATTTTGATGCACCTCCATACTGCTTTCCACAATGGTTGAACTAATTTACATTCCCACCAGCAGTGTAGGAGGGTTCCCCTTTCTCCACAGCCTCGCCAACATTTGTTGTTGTTTGTCTTTTGGATGGCAGCTATCCTTACTGGTGTGAGGTGATACCTCATTGTAGTTTTAATTTGCATTTCTCTGATAATTAGCGATGTGGAGCATCTTTTCATGTGTCTCTTGGCCATCTGTATTTCTTTTTTGGAGAACTGTCTGTTCAGTTCCTCTGCCCATTTTTTAATTGGGTTATTTGTTTTTTGTTTGTTGAGGCGTGTGAGCTCTTTATATATTCTGGACGTCAAGCCTTTATCAGATCTGTCATTTTCAAATATATTCTCCCATACTGTAGGGTTCCTTTTTGTTCTATTGATGGTGTCTTTCGCTGTACAGAAGCTTTTCAGCTTAATGTAGTCCCACTTGCTCATTTTTGCTGTTGTTTTCCTTGCCCGGGGAGATATGTTCAAGAAGAGATCACTCATGTTTATGTCTAAGAGGTTTTTGCCTATGTTTTTTTCCAAGAGTTTAATGGTTTCATGACTTACATTCAGGTCTTTGATCCATTTTGAGTTTACCTTTGTATATGGGGTTAGACAATGGTCCAGTTTCATTCTCCTACATGTAGCTGTCCAGTTTTGCCAGCACCATCTGTTGAAGAGACTGTCATTTTGCCATTGTATGTCCATGGCTCCTTTATCAAATATTAATTGACCATATATGTTTGGGTTAATTTCTGGGGTCTCTAATCTGTTCCACTGGTCTGTGGCTCTGTTCTTGTGCCAGTACCAAATTGTCTTGATTACTATGGCTTTGTAGTAGAGCTTGAAGTTGGGGAGTGAGATCCCCCCTACTTTATTCTTCTTTTTCAGGATTGCTTTGGCTATTCGGGGTCTTTGGTGTTTCCATATGAATTTTTGAATTATTTGTTCCAAT